GAATGGGTAAAATGAACACTTTAACAGAAACTTTAAAGGAGGTGTTTTGTCTGAAGCAAATTTTCCCACTAGGATGAGGAGCGGGATCTGGAGCAGCCTTTCTCAGTTGAGATCAATGCCACTGCTTTTTTGTCTCTCCTTCTCTCCCTTTCTGCTCTGGAGTGCTGAGAGGCTTGCAGAAAATTTGGATGTGTGCTTAGAGTTATAAACGAGAGGAGAGAATCAGTGATCAGGGGAGCACAGGCCTATGTGTCCTTTCAGGTCCGAGGAAACTTGCAGCCTTGGGGGGGGCAGCCACTGGTCAGGGCAGCTGGAGTTTCCAAGGTTCCTTGGCCACCAAATTGCTTCTGAGTCACTTTGGGGCAATCCAAATTCCCTGAATTAGGAGACAACTCTCCTGTGCCTGTGGTGGGACAGAGAAGCTCCTCCAGAAGGTGTTTCAGAATGTGTACACTCCTCAGGAGCCTATTTTTCCCATTGACTATAGGACTTGTCTCCTAATTAATTAGCTTACAGCTGCCTCTCCCTACCCTGTAGTCATTTTTTTCAAAATCCTCTATTTCAGCGTTTCCAGTTGTCGCAGCTTTTGCTTTCAAAGCTGAGTGGTCAGAGATAGCTATCCAACACCCAGTTTAGATTTTCAACACCCACTGAGTCACCCAATGTACTCCTGGAAGAGGAAATGATATTGCTATCTTTTGTGAGTGAAGGATTGTAAATAATGACCTAATCTATCTAAACCTACAACACTCAGATAGAATCCACACTTCGCTTATTGTAGGCAGACTTTCTTGTAACCCTGGAGATAAGTATACCCTGACATACCTTGCTGACTTTGCTGAATTTTGGTGTGATTCTGAGACATTTCTGTAAAGGTCAAATTCTCATCTCTGGTTGAACTACTTAGGACTAGGTGAAATCAGTTAGTGAAGTCATATAGCATCCTACATAGATTTATGAAGTATTTTGCGGTAGGAGTTTTAAGAAATTAAATTTATACTATTTTTCTTCTTTTCTACTTGAAATAGGAAAGAGAGTGGCATTGTACGCACCAGAATTGCCTTGTTCTTAATAATTTTGCCATGTTTATACAAGACTGCATCTTCACATCATGCTTCCAACAGGATGCCTAAACCAGGGTCCTGGTGCCAAAATGTTCCTTACGGTACAATTTGTGATTAATTCACTTTGGAATTTGCTTTCAAGTCTCTTGCATTTCTAAGTTGCTATTCGGTAACAGAGTTGTGGTCTTCTCAGTATTTAAGGGTCTTCCTGTCAAGTCATTTAGTAAAATGTTCAACTCTTGCTTTGCCTGCAATAACATTTTGAGTCTAAAGGCTCTGTCCTGTCCCTTTAACATAAAGGCACTTCTGCTCTAGATCTCAAGATGTGTTTTTTTTTCCAGTCTGAGCTTAGTTAATTATTAAAAATTAGTTCAATAATTAAGGAGTTATACAGATTCATCTATTTTTCAGCACTTTTGAGTGTTTCTGCTTGCAGTACTTTTTTTGGGAAGAAATAATTTAAATATACCACAGCTTTTGGTCTTTTAAACCTTCTACTCTCAAACAAGTCATTTATTTACCTGTTGCATGGCCCAGACCCAATCACAGAAGGTTATTTTATGAACCCTGCATGTTTTCTCTGAAATAAGATTTTTTTTTTCAAGAAGAAACAAGAAATAGGGCTCTGGGCCTCCAAAGGGTATTTCTGCTGACAGACTGCAGAGACAGGGATCTTTATTCCAGGGAACTCCCTTTAGCTATTCCTGATCTTTGTAGAGATTTCATTTGTTCTTTGAAGGAGAGAAGATGTCTGGGAATGAAAGTTGTGTCCCAGCTGGGGAGCATTCTCTCCTGAGATGTTCATCAGCACACTTCACCTCTCTGTTTAAAAGCTGGTGTATCCTATCCAGTCAACCCAACCCCTGGTAGGTGAGCACAGGTCTGGAAACTTTTTAAAGATGGAGAAATTTAATTTGGCTCTCTGCTAGATATTTGGCTGTTCAGTTACCTGAGTGTTAATATAAAGGACCATCTCAGACACCCTGAATGGTATCTAAGGTATCTACGTGGGTCTGGCAGATAGGACATGGGACTTTTATCAGACCCATGTCTTTCTGGAAAAACAGCTGGAGGCCAATCGTACATCCAAAATGACATATTTAGGCACCTGAAACCAACCCAGAGTGTCCAAACTAAGTCAAGTCAACTGCAGACACCAGTGGTGATAGTGTTTAAGGGACTTGGTGGATGTTGTGCTCTTTTTCAAGCTATCTTTATCTAAATCTGTTTGATACTGAAGTTGGAGAACATGGATGTCACAGGCTTTCCTATAATTTGAACTATGTGAAATACAGATAGGTCACAGTGTTAACTTACTTTCAAAAAAAAGTGAAATTTTAGGGTTACCAGCTGTAAAGTTTTTCTAGAAAGGAGAATAGGTGATTTTAAACAGCAGTGGATGATGACTGCCTGAGGAACAGTGTAGTACATTTCTGTGTGGGTGTATGGAGGACTCCCATCAAAACCATATGGCTAGGCATACGTTATAGTTAAGGCAAACAAGCCTCAGTTATGGTCCCTCCTTGGTGAACTGACCAGAAAAGCATCACTGACCAAATCCTGTGTGTCACCTGTGCTGCTTAGAGGAGAATCTGACCTGTAGGTGTTGTTATATGTGGGAATATAAATGGGAAGCAATGAAAGCAGATTCTGCTAGACATTTTTTTTTTCCCTAATGAAAATATAATAAAAGTATTGGAAATTGGAAGCAGATCTTACACATACAAAGAAATATCCCACTCCACCTAAATCGTTAGGAAAAAGGTAAAACAAACTGTGAAATGGGAGACAGAAAGGGAGGCTGAGAGAGAACAGTTAGAAGTCAAAATGGAAAAAGGAAAAAAAAAAAGGAGGGAAGTAGGGAAGTTTGGATACCTTGAATACTCTTCTTTTAGAAGAAAAAAAAAAAAATTGAGAAAATTTTCCTTAAAAATTTTGGTTTCAGAGCTTGAAAGTGGAAAGCAGCCTGAAACAAGCCTTTTCCATTAGAGCATATTTTGAATGCAGAATGGTGTTTTGCACCTCTTAATGACAAGAGTTGTTGCCCAGCAGTTTTGCTGTACTATGTATGTGACAGATGTACACAATGGGAGTCAGTTGTGTGTCTGGCCACAGATGCACACAAACACACATTAACACATGCACACAAATCAGTACTATAAACAAAATGTCCAGAGCTGGAGAAAAATTGTATACTGTTCAACATGCAAATGGCTGCTGTCTGTCATTTGCTTTTATGTGAGTCCTAAAAATTCACGAGGATCACTCAATGAAAAAAGGTAAGTGTATAAAGACGATGAGACTGCTGCTTGTAAAAGAATGGATGTAGGCTGACATCAAGAGGGTTTTTTTGAGCTGGCTAAAGCTGTGCTGAGGATGAGGTCTCATGGGGAAATTCTTTGATGTCTGTGCTCATGAACAGTGCAAGGTGGGCTTTGGCTACGTCTGCATTAGAAAACCGTGTGGCCCAATAGAAGCAGATCTGTAGAGTGAGTGATGTAGCTACTGAGGATGCAGGGTCCACACTGTATGTGTTTTGGGGACTACTATAGAGTCGTTCTGGTCTGATTTCATTAGCGTCTGAAATGTACTATATGTCCTGCTTGATTACAGCTTCTGCAGTAGTTTCACCTGAAGGAAATCCATTTGATGCATTTCAAAACAGTTCTATGATATGAACTGAAGCACATTAAGTGAAGGATGTCTGGGAGATTTGCTTAGCTGTAAGTTGAGAAATTTCAAGTCTGATTTAAGAAAAAAGAAAAGATAATAAGTGAGAAGTATCTCAGCCAGGTTTAAATGCCCATCATTGACACACAGAACAGGTGCTCAAATATACTTCAAGATGACAGAGTATAAAAACTTGATTCTTCCTTCTTTCATTTTTCTGTGAATTTATTGACTTGGAGGTGCTACTCCTTATTTCCATCTTCCTTATGGAAAAAATTGGGACACGGGAGTATAAGCATCGAGAAAGTGAAACAGGATATGGAGAGAGAGAAGTTTGCTTAAAATCATTTGAAAATGATTTATTGGATGCAACCTCTACTCTCAGTGATTTCTGGTGTTATTACTTTCCTATAGTACAACCAGGGAGGACAGTAACTTGCTGTGGGCAAAAGGTAAATTATGATCTATTGCAAAGGAGGGAAGGAAAAACACAGTAATGGTGGGTGCGCAAGGCACATACTCTCCCTTGATGGTGTTCAGTGTGTTGGATCTCACGGGTCCAATCTACTCCAAAGCTTGCTAGGGAAAAAGAAATGTCAAGAGTTAAAGCAAACTTCATGGAGGGAAGAAAGGAAGATGAAATGGCAAGGTGTTTCGTTGCTGGGCTTTGTTGTACACAGACTTGGTAGTATGTCCACCAAAGAGGAGAGAATTTAGGAAACTGTAGTTGCAACCTTGATATTGCTTTCCAGTGGTGGCCTAAAGTTGTGGATGCATGGGACTTTTCTTCATCTTGCAGTTGTGCTGACCTGTGCATTCACACTGCTTGCCAAACCTATATCCCATCCCCATCCTCAGGGATGTTACGTGGCCTTCACCTCACCCTCACCTTAACGTTGAAAATATGTTTTCAGGTCTAACCAGACTAAGACCTCACCAAGAATATGTTTCAGCAGTGTTTTCTGAGATTCAAATTTTCTGGGAAAATTCCCCAAAGTTACAGCATTTAAAATAGTATATGATGATATCTCTGCTTTTGGATGAAAAAGGCTGAGGCAAATTCTTTCCACATGAAACGTTTCCTTTTTTTAAAAAAAGAAACATATTGGATTTTTGACGGTTTTACTCTCTCCTACACAGCATCAGAAAGAAATGAATGACTACGGGCTGATCCAAGTGAGGCAGTGTTTTCTAAGCATGCTCCTCCTGCTTTTTTATGTCTATTGACTTGTTTATTAATTTTTTTTTTTTTTTTTTTTTTTTCAGGCTGGATGCCGAAAGTAGCTTTCACACACTTGAAATTGTCAGCTTATGCTAATGACACACGAGTAGTGCTCCAGCAACCTGTTGACTGGCAACCTGGTGATGAAATCGTGGTGGGAAGGACAGGACTTGGAGATGCACAGCAGCAAGAGGAAACAGCTGTTATTGAGTCTGTGAACAACACAGAGCTGTACCTTAGATCACCTCTCAGGTATCCTATCAAGGGCCAAGGAGATTTCTAGAGTAGAGAGCTAAACCAGGGGAAAATTTGGTCAAAGTGAGGATTTGATGTTTCCTGTGGGACATAATAACTATATAAATCCCTTTAACAAAGGTGGTCAGAGATATTTCGGTTCCTTGCTCCCCCTAAAGCTAGTGGATGTTCAGTCCTGAATGTTTCTGACTATGTTTAAATTCTGTATCATAACCATGAACTCAGAAAACCTTTGAAGCAGAAAACACTGATGGCCAGTACAGTCCAGCAGCCTCAGCATGGGTTGAAAAAGAAATTTCCTGCATAGTTAACTCCTTGAGAAAGTGCATTTTTGACACAAAAAGTGTCTGACTTCTGTGAAAACAAAACAAAAAACTTCCCTTCTTTACTGATTTATGTAAAACGATTAACAACACACTCAAAGTGAATTTCTTCAGTTTCAAAATACTGCTTCTGTGTTTCCAGTAAGTGGTAGTTTCACTGCCTTATGCTCTCTTCATCATCTGTGCATGGAGATCTTGGACAAACTGTACTTTTTAACATCATCACCTGGACCCCCAGTGTTGAAATGTATTATCTATTTGGGAGGCAACCCTGCTCCAATGCCCAGGAAGATTAATGGTATCATTTTCACAAATACCTGGGGCTTAAGGGAGAAGGTACTGATGGTTTTCACCCAAATATGTTTTGGGAAGAAAATTCAAAGGCTTAAATATATTGTAAACATATATAATCTAAGGAAAATTTGTGAGCTTAAGAGACAAAAAGATGAAACCAAACCAGCCAAGGAAAAAATATATCTAGCCCATATACACAGACGCATTGGATGTGCCACTGTCCGTAGTGAGAAGAGGACTGGAACCAGTTCTGAATTTGAGCAATTGTGGTCATAAGCTTAGGGTAAGCATAATTCTTGCCATCTGGCAGGTGCAGATGCTTTTGTGCCTTTTTTGTGTCTTTCCTTAGGTACTCCCACAGTGTTGGAGAGGGATGGGTGAATGGCCGAGGCCTGCCTTTGAGTGCTGTGGTGGCACTTATTAGCCGAAGGGTTGTTGTTCAAGGAAATGTCACGATGGAGAGGATGTCACACCTCAGAGAGTGTGTAAAAGCAGGTGTTACAAGAGGTGAGGAGGTCTTTTCTCACAGAAATGTACTGAGGAGGAAAATTTCTCCATTAAAATCATGTTGTGGTATCATTGTGTATTAGAACTCTGTCTTAATAGGATAACTTTGAGACATATCAATGCCAGGAAAGCGAGTTTATCTTTCCAAACATTGCTTGACATTGAAGTGTGAATTCTTGGGAGTTGAACTGTGTTTCATTGTAATATCTCAGATGTATTATTTTCACACTGTTGTTTCAAGCCATCTTGGGAAAGACCCTTTAGTTTTGCCTGAGCCTAAGGGTGTAGAAAAGAAAGTATCTTCTGAAAAAAATCTTTCAATGTACATAATATATTAAATTTTTAATTATGTTTACTATTTAGTCACTTTAAGAAGAAGGAAAAACAAAAGAGTCCGATGCTGTTTGTACTCTTTAGTTCGAAATATTGAGACATTGTTCAGTGTTTAGAGATACCAAGAAAAAATAACAGGTGATGGTTTCTTGTAGCATATAGTAACACTGGTGAAACAATGTCGGGTATCTCAGTTCTCCTTTAGTTTTACCTGTATGAAACACCATTAAATTTGACAGGTGGCTTCCTGACTTACACCAGCTGATGAGGAAACAGAATCAGACACAGTGATTATAATTTGAGGAGAGTGAGGTTATCTGGCAACCCAGGTGTAAGGTTTCCTTTAAAAATAAAATGCCTTGGGCTTTCAGACCGTGACACAAGACTTCATTTGATATCCAACAGCCAGCTGCTTATATTACTCATGGATTTATGGTCCATTTTCTGTGGAACTCATAAATATAGTCTCTGAAATGTGCTAACCGTTTGAGGGTTTTATTTGAGTTAAAGGATAGGAGGATTTCTCAGAGGAGTCACCAGAAGATGAGTGAGCAGTGGTTTTTGTGGTTAATTTACCTTCTCTAAAAGAAAAGTGAGCATTACTGAGCACAAGCAGGCAGTGCTGGAATTTGAGATCCCCTGTGCACCTCCACTGAACAAACCCAAGTTTCGTAGCCTAAATCCCCTCGTACCAAATATCCTAAGCACAGACCTGTAGAAGGATGTCTTTCAGGAATGTCGATGCCTTGCCCAGACCTGTGATTTACTTTCCTTGTCTTCAGACTGTGGGTCATAACGGTTCCCCATCCATATGCAGGGAAAGTTAGGAGAGGAAGAATTTTAAAGAAATTTCAAAATGTTCTCATTTCAGTTTAGTTCAGTACATCCATGCCCAATCCCCTTTTCAAGAACCTCACCCAAGGTAAATCAATGTCAAATCCATCTTCCCCATGCATAAGACTATTTAGAATTGAACAGAAGGAATTTTCCAAGGCATAAAACTACCACAGCTTCCTGTTGATTTTAATATCTGTTCCTCTAAAAATGTCCAGACTTTTAGGGAAGGAACCATGAGAGTATTTAGAGGGAGTATCAAATATGCTTGCCTGTGGCTCTCTGTCTTTGGGCCCATGTTTAAGATCGCTGCTGGAGATAGAGTCTCACTGGGTCATTGTGGTGGATCTCATGATGTTGCTTGGGGAACTCTGCACATCCCATGGTCACTATGGAGAAATGACACTGACAGCTCCCACCGGGTTCTATTCTAGGTGGATCCAAGTGTCTGTACAAGCGAAGTGAGAGGCAGCTGGGGTCTCGGGACCTGGGGGCCATCGTGGTTGTGGAGGCCTTCCAGGGAGAGGCGAGTCGGCTTTGGGTGGAGGGAGTCCAATTCCGCCACATGGGCCAAGCGTTTCGGCAGCACTGCAGTGCCCTGACTGTTGCTGGCAATGCATGGATGGCAGGTGAGATGGCTGCACTGGAGGTGGGCCTGAATGATCTCAAATGTCCACCTTTTCCTGCCCAAAACTGGGGCAGAAGTCCTCAAAAGCTGCTCGGCTCTTGGGTTAGTTGACAAATTGAATTGGTAAACATGAGAAAACCTCACCTGTAGTCTAAGCCCAAGTGAAACTTGATGGAGTGCTTTAAGTTGCTTTAGTTCCTTTGCATCTCTGGACAGCTTCTTCCTAAAATAATTTTATTTTTATGCCACATTTCTGAGTTGGCGTGCTGCTTCTAACTTTGGAAATGGATGCACTAATATAGCGTCAGGGAGCCCAGAGCTGGCTCAGGGCTCTATGGTAGCATAGGTCAAAATTTAATTCCAGCACCCGAAGGTTAAGGAATGTATTAAGTTCTTTTGATTTTGTCACTGATAAGTGCAAAATTCATCTCGGTGGAAGTGGCAGTGGGAGCTCTGAAGACTGGTGGTGATACGAGCAGGTTAGGTGGGCTCAAATAATGTTTTAAGGGTACTAGATGGTACTTTCCCTTCCAGCTAACCCACACTTCTGCCTTTCCTATACCATCTTCATCACCGAGTGAGGATCTAGGCTTCCTGGTGGCAGAAGGCAGCACTGGCCGTGATCCTGGAGTACAGCAGGCAGGTCACCATGCCTGGGTAGACCAGGTGTACAAGAGACCTGCCCTGTCCTCACTACCATTCTGAAACATTCCTCGTCTCCTTCAGACCCACTTCAATCACCCAACTCCCTGAGCTTGACATATTTCACTCTTGGGATCTTCCCCTATCCTTTCACCGGATCTTCTCCTCGTTCCTCACCATAGTGGACCACCTCCATTGAACCATTTCTGCACTTAGGCCCCCCCTTTCCTACTGTGCCCATCTCAGCAATGCTACCTATTGGCAAAGATCTGTCAGGTGAGTAAGGGTGGGCAGCTGCAAATGAGCAGTCTCATGGGACCCAAAAGGGTTAATTGCATGGTAACATATGATGAGGGACTAATATAAAACTCTCCCAACCTTCAAGCTATTGTGTGCTTTTTGCTCACAGCACTCATTTCTTTCTAGACTCTTACATACGTGGCTGTTGTGTTTTGGACTCCTTTGGCCAAGGACTCCGTCTGACCGGGATCTCAAACCTTAGTGTGGAGGGTAATGTTTTCCATAACATTTCAGGCCATGGGCTTCTATTGGGTAAGTGAAGCAGGAAAATATCTATCCTACATGTAACAGTAACATGTGCTGATTACCATTTGCATGAAAATGCCCTTGGAGGAAAGAATGGCAGATCCTTAACTGCACCATGAGAACTTTAATCACATCTTCTACATTTTCTGGTACCAGTGAATCTGGAATAAAGCTCCTACTATTCCACATGCAGCTATTTCCATTTGACCGTACAGTCTCTGTTTCTTCAGGTCAGTCTTCACTTGATCTGGATCCCTTTTTTTTTCAGTGTACAACTGGAAGGAGATTTTTTTTTTTTAGGAGATTGATTTATCTGCCTTTGGAAGAGCACCATTATGCAATATTTAAGACCACAGTTCAGCAAAGCATTTAAAAGCATACTTACCTTTAACTTCAGTCATTTGACATCAAAGATAACGCAGTGAAAGCATATGTTAAAAGTTAAGCAGAGGATTTAGCACTTAAATAAATTGGAGCTTGGAGCAACAAAAATGTTAAACAACAAAATATTTCTCCTAACTAACCATCAGGAGACTGACTTGCAGCATCTTCTGCTGGGATCTCATGTTGCCTGAATACCTAAAGATGTAGCTCAATTTTTCTTTTCCATCAGAGTTGGGATAAAAATGACCAATTTCAAGATAAGCAGAGGGGAAAAAACAAGCTTTCAGTCCTGATCCTGCAGTTCCACACACAGAGTGAGTCCCTATGCCAAGTCCTGTATATAAACATAATGAGAAGTGATAGATTACAGTTTAAACAGAGAAGACTATAAAACGAGAGTGATTGTACACATCTTACAGATGAAGAGAGCTAGCTCAGAGAGATGCAACGACTTGCCCAAGGTGATGTACAGAGCTCCTGTGGCCATGGGGAAGCAGAACAAGATCTCCAACCTGCTGGCATGCCTTGGCTCACTCATGCTGGGACATGTGTCTGAGTCAAAGGACTCTGGGCTGAGCTGAACGTTTCCACTGAAGTTTTAGCCTGAATACACCTTATCCCCAAGATGCCTTTAATGGCTTCAGTGTCAGCAGCTCCAGAGGGTCTGATGGATGAATTTATATATCATTTTGTTGCCTGTGAAGGAATATTTATTATAGCTGGCTATTTGTAGCTCCAGAATTGGACTCCCTCAGTGATTTCATCTAAAACCCTTATTTTCAGGGGGTTTGCAAGACAGTCATAAAAAGTCGCTCTGGGCTTAAAATTAATTGACACACCAGGTTTCAGCTTGGTAGCCAAGACCTTTTATGCCACCTCGAAAACCTATATGGCTGTCAAAAGGACTGCTTTAGGATCCTGTTCATGCTCTGGTGGTGGCATTGTTTATAGTAAATATAGCCTGGAAAGAAATATTTCCTAAATGGATCTTGTTCCAAAAATGGAGAAAGGCTCAAAAGACTGAAAGGAAGGCCAAAAATAATTACTGCTATCCCCAAAACCAAAGGACATAGGTTTTCCTGTGAACTAGCTTGCATTTGGGGGAGTAATGATTAGGGAAGGGATCTGTATTTGGAACAGAACTTGAGCAGGTATACTTGAAGATAATTGTTTATGTTCAATAAACAAAACTAAATAGATTTAATTTGCTCCTAATGTGGGCCAAACAGGGATGGTCCACTTTGTATTCTGCTTCCAAAACACCAGAGTGGGGAGACGTATGCTGATGTGTCCTTGTTTGGATTTGAAATGTATGGGACTGTCCACTTTTGTCACTGGGAGGCACATTTCTTTATGATGTAGTTTAAAAAGATTTTTTTTTTCCTTCCTACTTCAATACTGTTACTAGATCTCTGGCACTCCATGACTCTGAGTTGTGTGATCAGTTGGCTGACTGACTTTTCCTTTTTTTTTCTCATACTTTGTTGCTTAGGGGAGCAAACCCCCCACTTTGTGCAGAGTTGCACCAGGTGTTTTTAAGTCTATTTAGAAATTTTCTTACATGTGAGTAGGGCAGGGGATGGAGACACAGGAGATAGATGGTACTTTGAATTCTAGTACTGCCGGAAGCATGCCTGTGTGTGCATAGATGAACTACTTCCCCACTCTGGATCTTTCTTTTTCCAACTATAAATGTGCTTTATAATATAGCTTTTATTAATTTTTTCCATAAGTTTGCTGTACAGTATGGCTGGTGTTATATCCATATATAACACCTGGTACAGGGCCTTGTGCATGCTGAATTGTAGAATCATATTGCCTCTTTGTAGAATATATATTGCAGTATTCCTTTCCCTGATTGTTTTTATCTCATTAGAGTGTAAGTTCTTTGTGACAGAAACTGTTTTTTTATCATATTTACAATGTTGATCGGATCTTGCTTATGGCCCCCTGACATTTCTGAAGCACACAGTGTTTCCCTTTCCATGCTCTGCAAGACTGCATTGAGCAGTCATGGCAGTCGTTGACCATCTCACAGCCATCTTCCGCTGTCTGTTAAACACAGGTTTCTAAGTGCTTTTCAAACAGTGATTTATCCACAGACAGTTAGCAGAGAAAGCTAACTCCCAGATGGGCCATGCCAGCAAAGCAGGCAGGGCAAACCTCAGCCATTTCTACAACTTGCATAATAGACAGTTTCCAGCTATATGTACATTTTCGGTTCTTTTTTCTTTTTTCTTTCTTTTAATATTTTTTCTTTATTTTTCTTTTTTTTTTTTTT